CCCTTCTGCTTGGCTTAGTGGTTCTGGCCAAGTGTTACAGAAACAGATCTCCTGAGGCTATTTTGAAACCTGCTATCTTAATTGTTTGCTGCATTTCAAAACGTCTTAATTCTCACTAAGACCAATTATAGACCGTGTATTCTCACTGAGATGAACACCATGTCCTCAAATTTCAATAAAACAAAACAGGGATTTTTAAAAAATTGCCAAGACCTCCTTCAGATGATCACTTTTAAATAAGTAGATATTTCTGCTTCATTGGCAAACTGATCGGAGGGAGAGCAGCATTTATTCCCTCCTGTGCTGGTATGGGGGGATCTTGGAGCATCATAAGTTTGAAGAGCTTTGTTCTATTAAAACATTCTAAGTCTTAGTTCAACCTTGGAAGAAAGTTTGTACAAATAATAAAAGACTTTTCTTTTTCTTTTCCTTTCTTTAGTTTTTAAGAGAGCCGTCATACTGGTTTATAAAGAAAACTGCAAACTGAAAAAGAAATTGGTAAGACAAGAAGTGTACTTCATGAAAGCTACCTCTTCATGGCTGTCCTGTCCGTACTGACGCGAGACGCTTGCTCAGCAGCGGGGGTTCACTAGACTAACGGGACTTCTCCCGGGGTGACTAACCAAACCAGACCCTCGGGCTGTTTCTTATTCTCCCCACAAACAACGTCCGTTTTAAAAGAAGATTTATACAAATACCCGTGCTGGGGCCTACACAGAAAATAAGCTTCCATATCCCTGCAAATGGCCCATGTTTGCATCATACATGTAAGAGACTACATAACTTTGTTTTCAAACGACTTTTACCTTAGTTCAAAAAAAAAAAAAAAAAGCTTAGCTGTGGATACCACAAGCCATCAGAGTGATTACTGTACAGAAGGAATGAGGACACAGAAGGGTTGGTTCTCATTCTTGCTTGGTGTCTAGCCGTCTGTGCTCCCCAGACCACAACTCTGCCTGTCCCCGCCCCTCCCCCCCAGTCTGAGCTCTCCGAGAACTGGGAGCATACCTGCACCCTGACCACTCACACAGCTGTAAAGAACTTCAAGTTTCGATTCCCTCCACATGTCTCTGGGTGAGAGCTTGCTCTAACACTTTTCTCTGGGGGCTTTCCTGTTACAGCCCTCGAATTCCCGGCCTGCACACAGCTCTGCCGACTTGGACCCATTTAAATTTCGCTGGTTGATCCCCATATCCGCACTTCAAGTCAGACTGGGGAATACAGCAGGTAATTGTTGGAAAAAACTTTTTTTCTAAGATTTTGTCAGAGAGAGCACCAGCAGGGAGAGTGGCAGGCAGAGGGAGAAGCTGGCTCCCCAGAGCACGGAGCCTGATGCAGGACTCGATCCCTGGACCCTGGGATCATGACCTGAGCTAAAGGCAGATTTTAACTGAGCCCCCCGCCCCCCCCAGGCACACCCAGGAACACACATTATAATGGTACTTATTTGCATTGTGGAATGAAAAACTAGGAAAGAACCTTGGGACTAATTTCTGAGTTTTATAGGCAAAGAAAAGGACAAGAGAGGTTTTTTTTTTTTGTTTTTTTTTTTTTGTTTTTTTTTTTTTAAACAGACTTTTAGAGAAAGTAAATGCCAAATTTGGCTTTTCTTTGCCAAGTATCTCTTGTGTCCTTATTTTTGCTATCAGTGGTTTTCAACACTTTTTTCCTAATATCCTGATACCCTAAAATTTGTTAAACCAAGGACCATAAACCTAAATTTAAAAAATTCTGATACACCAGAAAATTCCTTAATATTAAACAATATTATACGTGATATTAGAAAACAAAACTTCAACCTTGGAAAATTGTTCAGAGGTCCTTCTAGAATAACCATGTTCTGGAGACTATGCCTCTGGTGGCAGAAAGGACCAACAGTCTAAGGCATGCAGCGATGCTCGGGGTCCATTTCATTTTTGTTTGAAGTGCTTACATTCCCTAAACCGGGACTGACTTTGGGCTGACCTGTTTTAGCTCAAGGACCTGAGCACATCCTGCTGTTCCTTTCAAAGAATACAATGAATCGAATGGGGTTGACAAACAGGATCCATTTCATCTCTTTCCCAGAGAGCTGGAATCCAGGGCTAGGGAGAAAGCAAACCGAGATGGATGGAAAACTACCAGGAAATGCAGAAAGTAACTAAGAAGTACTTTGATAACTATTTGTGAAAGTCATACATAGAATGAGACACGAAAGAAAATGATGAGACTCGGGACAGGGAGTATTTGACTTTTGAACTTGACATCTTTGGCAAAATTGTAGACCCTTGTTTCCTTTCACACAGGGACAGAAAATAATTCTGTATGGGAGCTGATCCATACGAAATCAGAAATAGAAGGACGGCCAGAAACCGTCTTCCAACTGTGCTGCAGGTATTTCTGACTTCCAAAAAATTAGAGCCAATGGGAAAAAGAATTACGCTCTCTTAAAAATGGGAGTTTATTTTTAGTGCTCTCCTGAATTTTGATGACTTTGGAATCACACCCAGCCTCCCCCCAAATGGCAGCTATGTCTGTAGTAGAATACATTGATTAAATATATATCCACATCTTAGTGCTCAAAGGCGCTTCAAAAATGATCACTTTTCCTTTTGTAAGTGAGGAGACCACGATACACAGAGGCTGGGTGACTTGCTGTAGGGACGTGTCAGGTCCATGCCCGGGAACGTGGACACGAAGCACAATGACTTGGGACATAACTGCTGTTTTCTCTTCCCTCCTCACCAGTGACAGTGAAAGCAAAACCAACATCGTCAAGGTGATTCGCTCTATTCTGAGGGAAAACTTCAGGCGTCACATCAAGTGTGAATTACCCCTGGAGAAGACCTGTAAGGACCGCCTGGTCCCCCTTAAGAACCGAGTTCCTGTTTCAGCCAAGTTAGGTGAGAACTTCGTGTTTATGTAGGAAATCATGGGCTTCTCTGTAAGGATGTATGTGCTTGTAACACAGCAGTGAGTCATCACTTTGTAGAGTACTGGGGTGGGGAGAAGAGGCTCTGTAAGCCCTGAACCAGACACCCAGATCCACAGAGTGGTGTGTGAAGGTGGTGGCAATTTTATTTCCTTTTAAGAAACTTAAGGGACACCTCGGTGGCTCATTTGGTTAAGTGTCTGCCTTCAGCTCAGGTTGTGATCCGCAGGTCCTGGGATTGAGCCCCGTGTCAGGCTCCCTGCTCAGTGGGGAGCCTACTTCTCCCTCTCGCTCTGCTGCTCGCCCTACTTGTGTTCTCTGCCCCCCTCTCGCTGACAAGTAAACTCTAAAAAAAAAAGAAACTTAAAATGCCTCTTGCTCCCACACCTTGTATAAACTATAACCACCCCCAACCCCAAGTCCTCATCTTACCAGCAGCCGATAGAATCTCTTCACTATCTTACCTCTTTCTTCTACCGGGATGTGCAGGACTCCCAGGGCTTAGCTTGGCTTTTACTGCAGTTCTCCCAGAGCTCGGAACAGCTCAAGGCATCTAGAAAGCCAATACTTGACGACTTAAGATCAAGAAACCTTATATTTATTCTTACCCAATTAAGTCACCAAATCATACTTTCCTTAAACTTTCTGCCTGCTTTTAAAATTTCAGTTAAAATTTAAAATTTTCTGCCTTTAAAATTTCAGCTTAAACTCTTCTGTATTAACTGTTTTGTTAATATCTTTGACCTTGTTTGTAGTCTTTAAATTATTTATTTTTATTGGTCAGTGTGACCTCTTTCAAATTCACTGTATATTTGTTTTTTTTTCTATTGCCAAAATAAGCTGTAGCCATTGAAACTATACTGTTATTAACACACACAAACACATCACAGCAGAGAGCTCCCCTTTTCCCTTTAACCCAAGAGAAAAGAATTAAACACACAGGAATGATTAAATCATTCCTATTAAATCTCTGGAAGTTGGCTAGAAATTCCAGCAGAAACCGTTCTCATGAGTGATGAAGGGCATTTTTCTACTTTTAATGGAGCAGCAAGGGAAATAAGGTGAGAAGGTAGGTGTAGAAATATGGTATAATCTTTGTTGTCCAATTTCAAAGTACGTTAGTGAAAGAAAGGGACCTAGATTTTATTAGTAGCTAAGAATCCTAGCCTTTGTAATAGTTTATAGCTTGTTGTCCTATCTAAACAATTGAGCTCTGGTAGTAGGCCATCTAGAAACTCCAAATCATCCAACGTAAATTTCAAATAAACCTAAGTAAAAAATTTCCACACTTGCAGTATCTGCTAGATTCCCCCCCCCACCCCCGCCCAAGTCCCAGGATATTGGTAACAGAAGTGAGATGACGATGAAATCTTAAGTAATTAAGGTGATACATCTTATAATGTACATTGCAAGTATTAGGCACTGCAGAGTCCGTTTCTCGATCACGAGGGGAAATGCCCTTCTCTCGTTGCAGCCTCCTCCAGGTCCTTAAAAGTCCTCAAGAACTCCTCCAGCAGCGAGTGGCCCGGCGAGCCCGGTAAGGGCAGCAGCTCGCTGGACTCCGACGAGGGCAGCCTGAGCAGCGGCACGCAGAGCAGCGGGTGCCCCCCGGGGGGCAGCGGGCAGGACCCCCGGCAGCAGCCCCAGCCAGGCCTGGCTGATCTGTCGGACAGTCTCATCAAAGAGAGTGACATTCTGAGCGACGACGAGGACGACTACCATCAGACTCTCCAACAGGGCAGCCCTACCAAAGACATTGAAATTCAGTTCCAGAGACTTCGGATCTCCGACGCCCCGGATGCCAAGCCAGCTGACCAGCCCGGCACGGAGGGCCGGCCCAAGGGGGAGCAGCCCAAGCTGGTGCGGGGGCACTTCTGCGCCATTAAACGGAAAGCCAACAGCACCAAACGGGACAGGGGAGCTTTGCTGAAGGCACAGATTCGTCATCAGTCCCTCGACAGTCAGTCTGAAAATGCCAACCTTGATCTCGGTTCTGTTCTGCAGCGGGAGTTCAGTGTCCAGAGTTTAACCTCGGTGGTCAACGAGGAGTGTTTTTATGAAACAGAGGGCCCCGGACAGTTGTAGTCCGGTCTCCGGCCAGACGTGGGCTCCGCTGCTTCTTTCACTTTTAAACTGGTGGCCAAGTGGAAACTGCAAGAAAACTACTCATTATTGGGTTTTGTGCAGCATACATTTTCCCACAAAATAGTTGTAAAGATTTAAGTTATTTTAATTTATTGTAGATCAGAAAACTAGATTAAACTGATCAGAATCTGTAAGAATCTGTAAATTACTTAGTTTATATCCCTTTTGAGCAGGTATCAAAATGACTTAGGATCCTTAAAATTGCAATCTATTTTAACTTATGTGGAAAAAGTCAGATGGGGGAGTTGTGATTAATAGTTTTTAAAAGGTCATTGTTTTTTTCCAATCCTCCAGGCATTTCCTTTGAGCTGTTAGTTTTTGCTTTATTTAAAGCATATTTATTTAAATGGGGGTGAGGAGCACAATGTGCAGATATTTCATTTTTGTAAGGTTGTAACAGATGCTGTTTATACTGAACATGTCATATCTATGCAGTATATATATTAAAAGAGAGCTTGTACTGTATCTTATTTGATTATATTTATTTTCTCTACCAAGCTGTACAGTAAAAGGGAAGGAAGTCACATCTGGTAATCCCATTTTTATTGTCCTTCTGTAGACGACAACAGAGTACACACCTGAGCAGCTCAACACTGTGGAAAGCAACATTTGGTTTGCTGTTAGAGTCTGTGTTTCTCCTTGTCATCCTCTTTTTCCTGATTTTTGCTTTTATTCTGTTTGAGTTCTTCTCTGAAATTATAAGCAAAGAGGAGTGGGTCTTCATCACACATTTTTCGGTAAACGTCACACAGGCTCTTAAAATGTGAAACCGAGAGCTGGGTGGGTCGAAGGGTAGGGTCCACATCTGCCAACTCTAACAGTTTTCCAGTGCTTTCCACGCGCTCAACCTCAGGGAATAACATTCTGAGGAAAGAAAATAATCAAAATTTTACTAAGGAATTCTGTAAATCAGAATGCTTCCTTCTACTCTCATTTGAAAATGACATTGTTTCGACAACTGACAAGTGGAGGGAGTGGAGGAGGCAGCTGGAGTGACCTCGGGGCCCCAAGCCAACAGAGAAGGATTTTGATCGTTGCACCAGCCAACAGGTACAAAGGACCACTGAAGGCAGAACTCATCTGACCTGGGAGGTGTGTCCACGAGGAAAAATATCTTCCAAAGCTCAATCAATACAAGCACCTTTAGGGTAAGTTTAAAGAAACGTCTACTCAGTTGTATTCTTATAGAAATGTTAGATTTGCTTTGTGTTTTAATAAGAAACTTGTCATTTCTTGATTCTCTTAGCTTTTGTGACTGGTCACCCCCTAGGAATGACCTTTCTCTACAAAGTTTAAAAATAGGTGACATGAAAATGCAAACAGTTCCCTTTTTTAGATTTACCTGGCAGCATTTTTGCAACCGATTTGAAGTATGTATTTTAAATTTCATCTAACCAAGCAGATCACGGATTTAAAGCGAATAACACAACCGAATGACTGGAAGGCTGCAAAGCTACACCTGGATTTTCTTTCTTTTCTCAACAGTTGATGGCTCTACGGGGCGCACAGGTCATGGCCAGTGGAGATGGAGTTTCTCGTACAGGCTGCTGGTCCTCTCGGTAAGGAACTGCACTGCGTGTTCCCGATGGTGACGGGTGAGCTGTGATCTCGGAGTTCAGGTTCATGGCAAAGGGGCGGGGCAAAGGGGGGGGGGAGCACTGTGTGGGTGCGTGTGACGGAAGGACACCAAGAGGTCTAAGCGGGGCACCCTATTTGGGTCCCTCTCTGCACAAAGAACTGTCCATATGAGACGAAGGGGCCCATCACTTAAGGTGGAAACACCGGGGCCAGCTATGAGGCCCATTCCAGGATTTCCAAAAGTAGAATGTACTTTGTGATTTTTTTTTCTCCCCCTCCATGAATCAGGGCCATCGTGTACAGCTGTGTAAGTCCCACCTGCGTGCAGGGTGAGTGTGAGCCGAAATCCAGCTCGGGTTCTACTCGTCAAATAACACACATCCCGCTGGGGCCTGCGGCTTACCGGGGGCGGTTACGTAATGCCATCCTTCCAACCGGCACCCAGACAGCCGGTGGCGTCCGTCACGGACTCTGCTCCAGTGTAAATCCTGGCCTAATTAGAGCCAGCAAATGGCAAGACAAGGATTTGACAGCAGTCAGCTCAAATCCTCCAGAATTTGTGTGGGCTGCAGGGGTTTCAGGATGCGGCTGCCTGCCTGAACCTGAAGTCATTCCATGGGCTAAGGGGACACTTCATGGAACCAGAGAGAGCGCAGAGAGGTGGGGCTTTTGTATAAAGGGGAGGTGGGATCAGAAGATGAGAAACGTGTGCCTAGGAAGCCAGATGCCTTTAACAGCTGGAGTGTGGCTGTAATTAGATGGCAGCCTTTTAAAAACACATCACACACGGCTTCCTGCCTTACTTGGGCCTAATTAAACATTTTCTTGGCTGAAAATATCACTGAGGTCATTTCAGGGCCTCTGGACATGCGTGGGCCCTGACGCACCGCCTTCTGTCTGGGTTTCCAGACGGTGGCTGTGCACAGAGCAGGAGCCCCCACTACATACAAACGCGCTTGCAGGAACACCTCGTGACGTCGTGCCGGCTGTTTCAACATCCTGCTCCCTAGTTCTAAGTGTGTCCTTGAAAGAGATACAACAACTTGGTGGAAAGTGGCCGGTGATTTAATCAACTGCCTAACGGACCCTCCATAGAGACCCTTAAATGATGGGTTCAGAGAGCTCCGTGCTGGGAGGTGAGGAGCCCAGAGAGGACACAGAAGCCCTACACCTCTTCCATGTGGCTGTTCCTGAGCTAGATTCTTTATAATAACTCGATAAACGAAAGTGTTTTCTTGAGTTCTGTGAGATATTCTAGCGAAAGAGTGAACCTGAAGTGGCATGGGGGGGGGGGGGGGGTGTCAGAGAAATGCCCATTTCGTGACCTGTGCGTCAGACACGTAAGCGGTAACACTTGTGACTAGCTGCTGAAGTGGGAGCAGTCTTGTGGCCCCTGAGCCCTTAACCTGTGGACTCTGTGCCGCTCCGGTAGTTCATGTCAGACTTGAACTGCAGGACAACTAGTGGGTGCCTAAAGACCTGGAGGAATTGCTGGTGCTGGAAAAACCACCACACAACGGGGTCAGAAGTGCTGAGCATAAGAACAGCTCGAATGGTCTGCCCTGAGAACTCAAGGTCATTCTCAACGGCGTGAATGTGTTTTTAGCTTGTACTGATGCTAAAGTGAAACCTGCTGGCGGCCTCTGAGTTTAAGCAGGACATCGCCTTCCCTCTGGGGCACTCAAGGTTTGTTCATCTCAGGATCTGAATGGCAAGTGACATTTACACATAGTGTGAAGAATCCTAAAAACAAGGTTTTTAATCTTTAAAAGTGCTTAAGGATTTTAGAAAGGGTGCCAGAGAAAGGCGGAGAAGGTGTTCTTACCCAAGCCCTCGGTAGCAGAACTTCCTCCGGAACTGAAATGCATTCTGAACGACCTTCTCCACCAGCTTGAAGGGCTGCTCGATCCTGGGCCGCACCAGGGGGGTGAAGTGCACCACGCCCACGTCCACCTTCGTGGCGAACAAACATGCATCATTTTGTGGCATGGCAGAACGTGACTAAACAATTCGTCTTTGTCAAACAGGCAGTTGGTGGTGGACCGCGTGGTTCTCATAAACCCTTGCGCGGACTCCGGCTTCACCCCTGCAGGCCGGCAAGCTGCCGCACTTGGCCGTGAGCTGCCTCAGCCATCCCAGTCGCGTCTGCTCTGTAATGACCTCCATAGACCTGTGCTGGATGATCGCTTAATTTTATAATGTGTTTACAGTGGCCTTTAAGATCAATCCAAGTAATCATTAAAGTCAGCAGGCAGCTAAGAGCGAGCATTCGAGTACTTTGCTTAGCTTTGGGATGTGGAAAAACTAAGCTGCGGCAGCAGTTCTGGCTAAGCGGCCGGGCTCCCAAACGCAGAAGAGCCGGCTGACGGCCCCCTGGGGACCACTTAGTGCTAAAGTCCCCGGAAAGGGAATCAATTAGGCACCACTTATTTTGGGTAGAGACACTGATTAATCAGCTGGCCCGAATTCATGCCTGTCACCTGCACGGCCACATCACTTTCTGGGGGCGACCTGAAATGTCCCGGGAGGCCCAGGCAGGATCAAACAGAAAGTGGAATCCGCCCCCCCACCCCCCGCCCCATGTCAACTGTATGAGTGGTGAACTAGCACTAGCTGTTGAGATTCTTTAATTATCAGAAAATAAAACTTTTCAGGCATATCTGTTAAGAGATTTATACCCTTAGTCTAAAAATGGACTCATGGTAATTCACAAGTCTATATTCAGAATAACGAACAGTATTGCAAGTAAAGACAAAGGAGAAACGGAGTCAGAGCCGTTATCATACACAAAATGCTGGACAGAGCCTATGGGCTAATGAATGGGAAGTCTGTTCCTAATTTACTAAAGCCTTAGTCTCTAAGGAGTTGTTAAATTTGCTACTTAGAACATCACACAGACTCTACAAGGGCTAAGTACGTACAGCAACTGGTGCAGTAGGGGTCGCACCACTGCTTTTCAGAAGGAATTCACTCCATTTTTAAAATTCCACAGGGGTTATCTTGTTCTCTTGCTTCTAAAAATCCTTGTGGCTATCAAACTCCTTAAAATCAGCCTGTCATACATGAGAATGGGAGTGTGTTCAGTTTGATTTTAGGGTGTTGGAAAAGTACTTGTGTGTGATGTGTGGACAAGAAAAGAAAATGAGGACATGCCCAGCACCAGGGGGCCTGGACAGGCTTTCTGAAGAGGAGCCAGTGATGGTTCTCCTGCTGCCTTGACTTACTCTTTCCTTGAACAATCACTGATCCTGTCCCTAATGTCTCGGATTAGCTACGGCGCACCTGCGGGATACCTACAAGAGGCCCATGGGAGGCGTGCTGAGGGCGGCCTCGGCCGCAGAGTGAAGACCGCCAGCAGAGCGGCCCTTCCACACCGACTCCCCGAAATATCCATCAGCCTTCAGGCTGCTTTAGTGGAATAGTAGTTATTACACTTCAGAGAGTGACTATCTGTAATGTTAAATGTTCTCATTAAATTTTAATAGTTTCTCAAATTGTGTTCTGTGTGTTGCTTCATCAGTTTCTCCGAATTCAGTAACGAGTACTTGTACAGGAAGTGAGGTGCTCGGTTAACAGGCCAGGACCTTCTGTGGACTGGCACGAACCACCACCAGGCACCAGGGGTCTGCGAGAGGCACTGAGGAGGCTAAGGTGGCCTCGGGGTTTCGGTGGAGTGGACAGGAGCATGGCAGTGAACAGGAAGAAAATCCGGCTTCCTCTGAAAGCGTTTCTGTGACAGGAAAAGAGCTCGCGTGTGGAGGACGGAGGAAGAAGCCGCCCCGAATCAACGATAATGACTTTAAATATCAAAGACTCTGCTCACGACCTCTGAAACATTCCATCCCCACCTTTCCTCCTATTGATCTGGAACACAGATGTGAACCCAGATGTCCAGGAAGGTTCTAGGCCTCACACTGCCCCATCACTCTATACCTCTCCATGCCACTTCCCCCACTGGAGCCTACTGGCATGGCATCCCGTGCCTGCTCCCTACTCTGCCGCCCTCCACGACAACTCTCTGCCCATTCTTCCCCTTTACCATGGAATTCTTCACAGGCACCCGGTGTGATCCAACAGCTTCCCATTCTCCAAGGAAGCTACTCTTTTAGCGAAATAGGATACAATTTGAGCCCCCGCTAACCCCAGGCCATGAAATATAAAAACTACATACTGTTCAAGTATTATCAAGGACAAAGGCTCAAATACAGGGTTAGATACAATCTCCTTCAGAAACTGACACTTCCAGCTTTTTTGGATTTTAAAATTTGGCCTCTTCTTTATTTGCCTGATTTTATTCCTTTGAGATAAGACTGGTGTTTGCAAATACAGGAAATGTCTCGTATTTGCTTTAGATAAAGTTCTTTAAGCCCCGAACACAGCTGCACCCTATGTTAACTGCAGCGGCCTTCTGAAGTTGGGATGTAATTTTGTTACCCAATTAGGCTGGCTACAGTACATCCCAGCTTCAAGAAAATACCTGCTCACCCTCTGATCCAATACCGTTCCCATTTAGCGGAAGGACCCTGAGAAACTCTGTGAGAATGACTATTCCCACAGTGTGTCCTGCTTCTCTGGGAAACCTCCTATACTCTTCTCTACTCCTGACCCCAAAAGCCCTTTTCAGTGCTTTTGAATGACGGAGCCCATTTTCTCTTGAAATACAAGAAAGCTGCTTGGTAACTAGGGTAACAGATAAAAAAATGCTTTTTACTTATAATTGAATGCTTATTTAAAAATTGCAACCATTATTTTTGCTTCCCTGAATTTTAACTCCCTTAAAGGGTTCCCTTACCAAAAAAGAAATCAGTATATAGGCACCAGATGCACTTAAAAATTCTATTTTAATGTTGTCAGCCCCTTTCCAAACTCGAGTCTACTGGTATACCCAAATGACCTTCTAAAACTTCAAATTAAAGGATTTATAGCGAATTTAACTATTTGCCTCTCAAATCCACTCTACTATCAATGCTGTACCACGCTGAGATTGTTTCCCAACACTGGCAGCCGTGGCTACAAAAGGCGTGAGGCAGCAGTTCCATTTTGCAGGCCAGCGTGTCTAGGGTGTGACTGCTTACGAGCTCAGAGCAGCACTCTGGACTCATAAGAGACCTGGGATAAGAAGCTGTTCAATCTCCAGCCTCAGATACTGCCAACTCGGATCAAGTCAACGAGAGAAACGAGAACGCTGAACAACGGGCAGTCAGTTCCTGACCGAGAACCGTAATAGTCCCAAGAGCTAAATAACCACCCGCGTGAAATGACACAGGCACAACGGGGGCCACAAGCTAAGAAAAGGTCTTCAACACTTCCCCTGGCTTTCACGACCACTGAAGGACAATCCCGCGGAAGGAAAAATCATTAGGAAGCTACAGTTTATAATCAGCTGAACCGAAACCATAACTGGGAAAGGCTAGAAGGGTGAGAAGAAGGACAACAGAATTAATCGATAAGCCTTCGGGAGCGAGAAGAGTTTTCCAAGCTCAAGGTGGCACAGTCTCCGACTCGTTTAGATGGGATTGGAAAAGGTGTGGCTCCATCTACGACGCTCGGGAGCACCTGAGGTTTGGGAGGAGCACATTCAGGGTCCGGTGAAATGACAAGAGCAAGGTGGGCACCCTCGTGGATGCTGGGGTCCTGCACCCACCAGAGTCTGACTCTTCAGGTGCCTACACCAAGCTAATGACAGCCTCCAGTTACAACTGCCCCGGACACGAGTAACAGAGCAGCAAGTCACTAATGTCTGGGATACTCGAATTACATGTTTTGTAGAAAAACCATCACAAATATGAATGTACATCAAATTTCCTATAACTGGTTTATTCTGCCTGTAATCTTTGTCCTAGACCCAACTTAAGGACAGAATTTCCGTTTTAAAACCTTAAAATGCAAACACTTTGATAGCATCCCGTACGTACTCAACATGGGCTAAAACACGGTTCATGCCAACACATCTTTCTTTAAAGCTTAGAATTTGTATTTCCTATAGCAATATTAATTTCTCCGTAAGTTCTACCCCACCTTTTCTCCCTCCTATAGATTTTTGAATGGTTTTTCTCTTTCTTCAGAATCACGAAATAGTCACAGTACTTCCCCCTCCGAGCCCTAGTATGTGAGAGACCAGAGCATGGCAGTGAGCTGAGAGCACGATGAAGAACGATCCCGAGAGGCCCACAGGAGGGGAGCAGACGGAGAGAGAAAGCATTTTATGGTGTAAATTATGCATGTAAACGTATGCACATAAGTAAATGCATGCAAACTGTGCATATTAGTAACCACAGCAGCAAGGTGAGTCAGGGTCCCTTGGTCCCAAGATAAGGAAACAATTTCAGGGAGGTGAATGCTTAATTCTAAACAAAGCACAAGAGGGACAAGAACTATCCAACGTCAGATTAGAGTTCTCTGTTCTATTTAACCTGGCGTTCCTGGATGATCACTGACACCATGACCTTCCCCATAAACCCTGACTTTGATGTTTGTGAAAGAGCAGCAGGTGGAGGTGTCCTGCTCCCGCTGGGGCCACAGGTGGTAGCCCCGGGCTTTCGTAGGCCCAGAGACTGCAGCACCTCAGAACGATCCGTCCCCAGGGAGACTTTCAATCTAGGCGGACTCACAAGCACCGAATAAATACTGCTGCCATGAAAAATATTAATATTTAAAGATTCATAAATGAACATGGATGCAAACATATTAACTCATAAGGAGCCATAACTGCCAAAGAGACTAGACGCAAACTCAAGTTGCCCTGTCAGTACCTTACTTTCCTATATGCAAACTACCTACAAAAGGAGCTCTATTAGGATCAGAGACCGTGCAGCACCATGGAATGGGAGCAAGTATGCACAGACTGGTGGTCGTAATGGGCACGGACCCGTCATGGCCAGCCCGAGGGCCTGACTACTCGCTGGCACAGGCACTGCTGGATTCTCCGCACCACGTGCTTCAAGCGCCCACAC